AAATTTTTTTTTTTTTTTTTTTTTTTCCCCCCTGAGTTCCAGCCAAAGCTCTCTGTTCAGCCAGGCTCGTCTTCCCTGCTGGCTCATCTTTCAGCACATAGGGACAGCCTGCTGCTGTGACTTTAAGATTTCCTTCTTGAAGAATGTCCAGCCTTCCTGGACTCCTTTGTCCTTCAGGACTGCCTCCCAGGGGACTCTCTCAACCAGTGTCCTGAACAGGCCAAAGTCTGCCCTCTGGAAGTCCAAGGTAGCAGTTCTGCTGACCCCCCTCCTTACTTCTCCAAGAATCAAAACCACTATCCTTTTGTGATGGCTATGCCCAAGACAGCCTCCAACCATCACATCACCAAGTCCTCTGTTCGCAAACAACAGGTCCAGTGGGGTGCCTTCCCTAGTTGGCTCACTCACTAGCTGTGTCAGGAAGTTGTCTTCCACATGCTCCAGGAAACTCCTAGACAGTTTCCTCTCCACTGTATTGTATTTCCAGCAGACATCTGGTAAGTTGAAGTCCCCCACAAGAACAAGGGCTAGTGATCGTGAGACTTCTCCCAGCTGCTTATAGAACATTTCATCTGTCTCTTCATCCTGGTTGGGTGGTCGATAACAGACACCCACCATGATATCTGCCTTTCCCCTGATTCTTACCCATAAACGCTTGACCCTTTCATCACCATCATCAAGCTCTAGACAGTCAAAACACTCCCTGACATACAGGGCTCCCCGACCGCCTCTCCTTCCTTGCCTATCCCTTCTGAAGAGTTTATAGCCATCCATTGCAGCACTCCAGTTATGTGAGTCATCGCACCATGTTTCTGTGATTGCAGCTATATCATAGTTTTCCAGCTGCACAATGGCTTCCAGCTCTTCCTGTTTGTTGCCCATGCTGTGTGCGTTGGTGTAGATGCACTTCATTTGGGCTATTGATCCCACCACCGAAAGACCTTGCTAGCATACTGTCCCTCAAACACTGGCGTGCTCCCCCCAGGTTATCTCTAGCAAACCTGGTTTTATCCTTTTCCCCCTTCAAATCTAGTTTAAAGCTCTTTCTATGAGCCCTGCTAATTCCTGTGCAAAGATCCTTTTCCCCCTTTGAGACAGGTGTAGCCTATCTGTCGCCAGCAGGCCTGGTGTTGTGTAGGCTGACCCATGATCAAAAAACCCCAAACTCTGCTGGAGTTCTGAATAGTCTTTTCCTAGTGGAAAAAAATGTAATTGTTATAAAAGCAGGACTTAAACAGTGTTGTGGGAGTAGTAGTCTGCTGTGTTATTTACTTTCTCAACGTTGTATTTTCTATTTGTTGTTAGACTAGGCTCTTTTTCTTCCAGAGTTCAGGACCAAAAGTGAATCAGTTAGTTGCAATTGCCTAACCACCCGTCAAAATGTCCTCAGTTAAGTTTAAGTATTTTTAAGGAATTAATAACTAAAATGGATTTAGTTTACTGCTGATGGAATACTTGTTACTGAACTGAGGAGAAGATGAGAGTGGGGAAGGCAGTCAGTATTCTCTGAATGACGGACTTGGGGGATGCAAGTTTTTTGTGGCTGAAGAAGACAGGAAGCAAGCAGCTGTTCTGAGCTTCTGAAGTGGGGTCCTGTGGAAGAATGTCAAGCTTTTAGAGCCTGGTGAACTTGGTTTTAGGATATTTGTATGTTCTCCTGACTTGTGGACAAGTTTTATTGGTTTTGATTTTGATCTGCATTGATATGATTACCTATATCTAGAGGAAATAAGTACTGGCAACCATCTTCGGTTGTTGGTTGTTATCATGGGAGGCACCTCTTTGGGGTTTATTCATCAATAATTTTTTGTTATTCACTAACAACCAAATGACTACTTGCTTAAAATACTGATTCCAAAATAACTCTGTAACTATTGCATTCCTCTTTGAGATAATGGATTTGTCTCAAGAGCACGTGATCTCAAGGCCTAGCTTTGACCCGATGTAGTAATTATCTGGCTTTAGTTTGCATTTGGATAAATGTCATCAGTCCCAATTTTAAAATTTCACACTTCTGCTGATGTAATATGTGTAAGCACAAATCCAAGATGTAGAAGCTGAAAGTTTGAAGTACTCTTCAAAACCAGAATGGGCCTTTTTAAGAAGTGTGAGCATCAATCTAAAATGATGGAATAGTAACAATAGTCAGTGCCACCACTGATTATGATAATTGCCATATTGAACCCATTGCTGACAGGTTTTCATGGATTTGCAAAAAAGCTAATTGCTAATCTTAACCTGATTATGACAAAGTGTAATCAACATTAATTGAATCATGTAAATATTCTATGTTTTTAGGGTATTCTTTGAAGGACTTCTGCAGTAAATTGAATTCCACATGTGCTATTGTATTCTGTCTTTGGTGGGTTTTTTTGTAGATAAAATTATTGTGGGCAGTTATATGGGATATCTCCGAATCTTTAATCCACATCCTGTGAAACCTGGAGATGGAGTACAACCTGAAGACTTGCTCTTGGAAGTGCAGTTACGAGAACCAATATTGCAGGTGGAAGTAGGAAAATTTGTTTCGTAAGTCAACAACAGGCTATGTTGCTGTTTATTTAAGGCTTAGATGTGATTTTCTTTCTTTGTTTTGGGGGGTGAGTTTTCAATTTTCACATGGACAACTATTAAGCACATCTATGTATACTGTAGTATGCATTTGATCTGCTTCTTGAATCATCTTGATATGAGAGAATTTTTACTTAATGTATATGCAGAGGATAATCTTCCAGATACTTGTACGATTTTTTAAAAAGTATGTAGAACAGGAAAAACCTTATATTGAAAGGTTTTTTTAGGTGTTAAGAAAGCTTGAGTAACTTGTTATGATCTAAGATGTAATATTGGCCAGTTGTTTTGGGTTTGATGGAGGACTGAAGATCTTTAATTCCAATGAATTTAGTAGAAGTAAGTGGCCAGGTAGAAGAGAAATACTATGACTAAGGAAAAGGCCTTATATTTAAGTGGCTGTGAGAGAATCTACTTAGGAGAACTTTATTTTAAAAATGAAAGAAAAAACCAAATGGATATGAGGATCATCACTCCAAACAAGTGTTATTCAGCAATGGCATACATTACTTTTTTTAAATTTACTTTTGTACCAGCTGCATGGAACCTAAATTAATTAAACTATAAGGCAGAAGTCATAAACTTAGAATGCTATATTCACATTCTTTTTCCCCCAAACCTAAGTAGTATTTCCTGCAGAGAAAGCTCTTGTGCTGTAACTATAGAAAATGTTATAGATCATTTCACAGGGTAAAGTATTAGAATTCCTGCATGGGGTCACTTCATGAGTACTTAAATAAAAGAAGAACAGTTTCCAACTGATGTAGGCCTTTCAGCTTTTGTGGCCTTTGGTCTCAGAGCACAAGTCTTTCTCATGGTTAGTACAGGTTTTTCTCTCATTTTTAAAAATGAAGTTCATACTGCAGTATTATAAGTTAATGTCAAAATTAAAATGAATCCTTTTAAGAACTCATTTTTAAGATAAAGTTCTCCTAAGTAGATTCTCTTACAGCCAATTAAATATATGATCTTAAAGGATTCATTTTAATTTTGAAATTAACTTATAATACTGCAGCATGAATTTAGGAAGATTAGTACTTCTGCGTTTTTATGCTAGCATCTAACACCCAAACCTTTGGATTTGGCCCACACCTGAAAGTAATTTCAACATGTTACTTGAATTTTATCCTGTATGTGTTTTACTTGGAATTTATCTGAAAACGGTGCTTATTTAACATTCTTTACAGTGGTACTGAAGGACTTCATCTGGCTGTGTTGCATTGCCGAAAACTCTGTGTATATGCTGTCTCAGGTTAGTTTACAGATACAACCTTTGCAGTGATTTAAAATATATTCTAAAGTTTGGATTAGGTTAAATGCTAAACTTGGTATATACAGTGTTTGCTCATTATACCTGAAGAGCTGCAGTCATTTTCTCTCACTCAAACTCATGTATGAAGAGGAAACATTAGTAATTAGGTCTAGATATTTCCCAATGGTTAACAGAGATTTGCTGATCTGCTCAGTGCTTGAGATGCTGTGAGATGCTGTGATGTGTGCGATGGTCTGTGGTTGGTAGTGCTTGTGAACGGCTAGTTCTCATTACAAGTTTAGGAGTGGGTGTTACTGTTCAGCACACTAATGAACAAATGGTTATATAATGACAACTTAGCTCTTTAAAAATGAAACAATTGTAATTATTTCTGAACTCAAATCCAGATAGTTTCTTAGAAAGCCAGTACATTGGTAATGTAGCCCAAGAGAAGATAGGAGGTTAATACTGGTAAGAAGGTGAAACTACAATGTTTTTTCTTAAATCCTCTTTCTTCTACTGCCTTTGGCTGGAAATTCCAAGTGCTGTGTTCTCTCTGTATGTAAAGAGGCAAGTCACAAAATACCTGTTCTGTGCATTGAATTCTCTATAATATATGCTTAAAGCAAAGTACAGATTTAAGAGGTCTATTGATTGTACCCCCATCTTCAAAATTCAATAGACAACTATATATTGTCCATTTTCCTCTGTGCAGGGAGGACAGCTGTGGCTCCTTTCATTATAAGAGCATGGTTTTCTTTTAGGAGCAGCTTGCTTCCTGTTCACAGCCTTCTAGGCAGATAGGTTACAAACATGCTCTCTTTCCAGATTCTGTTTGCCTTCTAGTTATCTTACCTGGAGACACCTGTAAAATTTGTTGTTGACAGGTGATACTTTAAGATGTACTGCAGTTTTCATACTTTCCCTTCTCTGTAATAGTGCTTATGTCTTAGGATTGTAGCCTACCAGTACAATTTTTATTAAAACAGTTTATTTTAGAATTTACATTAATGGCATACAACAAGTCAGTCTAGGTTTTTTTTAGTTATAATTTGCCGTTTGGTCTACATGGCTTAAACATTTAAGTAAAAATAAAAGTGAGGTTTTACAATCCTTTAACAGAGTTTTCGTACTAATTTGTAAGCATTCATGCTGTAGTAGTAATTTCTCTCATCTGAACAGGTGCTTTTGAACAAGCTCCTTTGAGAAATAACAATCATTATTTCTTTATGCTTCTATGGCAAGTTGCACTTTCATAAAGTGGGATCTTTACTTGCTTTATACATGTTGCTATATCTGTTATTTGTAATAAAATAACTATGCTGCTCCTCCTTGACAAATGAAAGCATCCTTCAGGGCTGACTAAAGTATGGCTTGGATATTGTATTACAGTCAGTATACACAAACTGACCGCTTTCTAACTTGTTTTTCCTCTGGTGTTGCTACTTAGCTAGTTACTTATCCAGCCAGGGCTTTTTTCCTCATGTCTGATCTAATCCTTTCCCTAGTGTGGGCCTGCTTTAGGGGTAATTGTTTAAAAGCTATATTGGATTTTAGTTGGAGAAATGACTGAAAGGTTAGCATAAGCTACAAATCTTTCATAGCATGTTGTTTAAGATGGTGTTGGAATAATCTTTGTATACTTAAAGCTGTGGTAGGATTTATCTTAGATACCATTCACTCAAAACACCTTTTTCGCTGGTGATGTGACTGTTCTCAAAGGTGGGGTTGTTTTTGCTTGCTAATATTAGTTCTTAAGTGTTACTCTACATGATGAAGAACTTTGATTTCTTCATGGGGTGCAGGAAAGACTTGATTATCAAAAGGGAAGCTTTAACTTCAGGTTTTCTAGAAAGACTTTTCTAATTTCTGCTAGTTCCGTGAAGGAGTCAGGAAATTAAAGTTCATGCAGACCTTTTTCAGAGAATGGGATGTATATCATAAAATTTTTGTTACCATATGTTTGTCTCTTCTCTTTGCATTTTTGATCACTGCATTGAATTTTAGACAGAGTAAAGGCAAGTGATAAATGTGCCCTAAGCATAGGTTTGTCAAATTATAGCTAATGACTAGCTACAGCTTAATTTGAGACAAAGACTATTACAGCTGAGGCTGGCTGCTGGATATAGTATATTCACTGAATAACTAGAGAATCATAAGAATTCCCCTTTGAGCAGGCTTTTTTCTGATCTTAGAGGTGTGCCTAACATGAACAAAAATACATTTAAGTAATAAAAATCTCAGCCTCTTGCTAAGTCTTTATACCAGATTTAGTATAATGAGACCTTTTTTCTGGTTCTGGCCTTTAGGAATTTTGTAGCTTGGTGACTTTTTTTAAAGAAAGCAGCAGTGTGAGCTGTCGTATCTCAGTCGCTAGGAGTAAGTTACAGTTTTTCAGGTTGTTTAATCTGGTACTTCTTTACTTCTTCCATATTGCATGTATCAAAGATACAAATATATACCCTTTGGTTTTTTGTAGGAACTCTGGGAAATGTGGAACATGGGAACCAGTATCAGATTAAACTGATGTATGAGCACAATCTTCAGAGAACTGCTTGTAATATGACTTATGGTCCATTTGGTGGTGTAAAAGGTAAGCTCCTTGTTGCATATTCTTTATTATTAGTTGTTTAACTGTGAACAGTTGAGGATTAACTTAAATTTTGAAAGGCAACATGATGCTGCTGTCTGGAGGAAACCATCTTTCCATAAATGATGGTAACTTTTATCTGATGCACATAGAAAATAACTGAAGTTAAAATGAGGCAAAGAATATTCAATGTAGAACAGTTGTTTCCTCACATCTTGAACAGGATATGAAATTACAAGGATAATATTGATTTAAAAAAACATTAGAAAAACCCTGGCTCTTTCCTTGTAAAATACTTTAACATCTAAAATAATTGTTTTCTTCTATGCTTTAATTCTGTTCTGCTTTTCTGCAACTTGCTTATCCTGGACAAAGAAAAAAGTTATCATCATCATTCTCTGAACCTAAAATATCAAGTGTCTTTAAAGATACGTAATGCAGACTTTTTAAAAAAAAGTATTTTAAACTTTGATTGGAAAAACATAACAGTGGAAAATAATATTTATGGTGTACTTGTAGTTTTGAATGAGTTTAATAGATACCAGTCTTTTTTGAACTTGTGACACAATTATGAATGCTTTTGTGTTCCAATCTCGAAGCATTTAGGTTTGCTCTACACGACAGCTCTTTCTCTTCAGAAGTAAAGTTTGCCCAACAGTATTGAGGGGGTGATAGTCATCTACACAAGTAGTGTCCCTAGACTGTTGGCAGAGTGATATTGCTTTACCAAGGCAGAAGGTCTTTTGAGTCAATATGGCAAATATGTGCAGACAATCCCTCAATTCTGTGTCTGTAATAATCTTCTAGTAATAATTCTACAATGCCTTATGCTAAACTCAACCTTGTCCCTGGGCTTAAATTCAGCTGACCAAAATTCATACTGATTGAAGAGATTTTCATCTACTAATTTTGCACAACCACCTTGGGAAAAACTGTCAACTCATATGGGTGAGAAGGTATCTATGCTATGAGTATCTTGAGGGGTGAGTGTATAGTGCATGGGCATATTCCTGTTAAGAGCAGAAAGACAATACGGAGTTTCCTAAACCTGAGAAGAGGGAATAGTGTGCTTACTGACATACTATAGTGGAATTGCACTAACAGATGTATTGAGGCAATTGTAAGCTAAGAGTTCTGAGTGTCTGGAATGGTTCAGGGATAAAACAAATACCTATGTACCACCATGCAGTTCTGCAGAATAAACTCTGGATTTTTTTACATGCATGTTTGTTTATCATGGAGATCCGAGTAGAGGTCTGACCACCAGCTCAGTCTTGATGCCAGACCTGTCTCTTATATGCCTTATCATGAGCTGTGGGGGATGCAACTGATGTAATGAAGAAAATGTCTTTGTAAGCTAGGGAGACAAAAGGTAATGTTTACCTCAGAACCTACTCAGCCAGCCAACCACTTTTCAACACCTAGGATGGTCAAAATGAGGGCCAATCCTGACAAAGCAGGAAGAACAGCAGAGAGAACTCTGGTAAGTTCTGCAAACTCTTCTTGTTTTCTAATAGCACTTCTGCCCCAGCATGTCAAGCTGCTTTCCTTTTCCTTTCTTCTTCCCCATGTTCCAGTTTGCATCAGTGTGTTTATTGCTGTGGAAAAAGAATGACCTCAAGTCTTGTTTTGAGATGGCAAAAATGTTAATAAACAAGGAAGGCAGAGATTTGTGTTATGTAATAAATAATACATGTTCATATCATAAGCTGAAGAAGCTTTCTGTTTGTTCTGGTTTAACCCCAGCCGGCAACTAAGCACCACACAGCCCCTCGCTCACTCCCCCTCAGTGGGATGGGGGAGAGAATCAGAGGGGTAAAAATGAGAAAACTCGTGGGTTGAGATAAAGACAGTTTAATAGGTAAAGCAAAAGCCGTGTGCGCAAGCAAAGCAAAACAAGGAATTCATTCACTACTTCTCATTGGCAGGCAGGTGTTCAGCCATCTCCAGGAAAGCAGGGCTCCATCACGCATAACGATTACTTGGGAAGACAAACTCCATCACGCCAAACGTCCCCCCCTCCTTCTTCTTTGCCCAGCCTTATATGATGAGCA